CTTTTAACTATTCCCAAGGCAGTGTGGGTGAACCAAAATTATGGAGGTGAACCAATTATAACTAGCAAAATAGTAGAATCAAGAAAAACCAAACGTATGTTAATTTGTATTCACCAAACAAAAGATATTCTAGTGCAATAACTTGCTACAATAATTTGAATCATACCAATTGGATTATCAATAATAAATTTCACACTAACAATGTGCCAAGCTTCAAGCAACTACCTCACAAAATAAAAAACTAGATCATATGTAAGCCATTAACACTCATTCATTTACACATACTACAACAACTGGAATCTTATCAATTATCAAACTCATTCCAAACCCATAGCATTACAACCATAATGACAAACATCATACTAATAAATCTAATTAAAAGATATATTCTATTCTATTCTTAAATAATATTAAATCACCACGAATCAACTTTAAATATTCAATCTCTAGTAGTAGCAACTTCTTCTCCTCTTGTTTTTTCTAATTGCAAGCATTATTCTCAACTTTGATAGTCTTCATTTCAATTAACAATTACTCATTCTTGTTTTTGAGGCACGAAGTGTCACTTTTTAACTTAGAAATCACCTCATTTAATCTCAAATTCTCCGAAATCAACCTATAATTCATTGTATGTATTTGTTTTTGCTAATTTCGTAAGCCCAAAATAATATCTTTGGCTTTACAATCTAAATCATCCTCAAACCACAATTTAAAACTACAGCTCACATCTTTTTTTCCTTTTGCATTGAATCATAGTGGGCAAACATTAAATCTAATACTTGGGGTGTTCATCACTCCAAGACAATATCTTCATTGTTTTCATCCCACATAAACACATAATCGATGGTTTTTCATAACATGATTGTAATTCTTGATCACCAAGTGCATATATCGATACTTGTGATATATTTGAATGTTTAGACATTAAAAATGATGCGGATGAAGTGGTCATGTCTTCCGTATTGTGAGAAGACACTACAAAAGATGAACGAAAGTTTAAATTTAGGGATTTTAAAAATTGAGGATTTAGGATTTAGAGATTTAAGGATTCAACAAAAGCATAATTTATATTAGGTTAGGGATTTAGAGATTGTCGAACAATGGAGAAGAAGAAAAGAGTTAGAATTTAGAGATTTTGAAACAAATAAAATTATAAAATTGAGGAAAATTGCCGAACAATGGAGAAGAAGAGAAGAGTTGGAATTTAGGGATTTTGAAATAAATAAAATGAGAACCGAGGAAATTGGGATTGCCGAATAATGGAGAAGAAGAAAAGAGTTTGAATTTACAAAGAAAATGAGAGAATTAGGGCAAATTTTGCTCGAATAATGGAGAAGAAGAGAAGGTTAGGAGTTTAGAGATTTTGATACAATGTAAAAATGAAGAAGATAACGAGTTGGGTGAAAAATAATATGTTGGGGTTTTTTTTGTCTTTTTATTCTTATTTTTATAAACTAACAATTTGTTAATTTATTGTTTTTCCTTATTTATAGGGTTTTTTTTTTTCAGAATTATAACTTGACAATCGGGATCCATATTTTCACGTGTCGGTTCCTAATTGGCTATCATCATTTTTAAAACGCCATGTCGGATTTGCGGTTAACGAAGGGTGTCAATCAATAAATTTGTAAAAGTTGAGGGTTTCAATTAAACCGAAAAATCATAAAAGGTCTCAATAAAAAAAAATTAAAATTGTAGGTAAACCTTTTATATATATATATATATATGCTTGTAATTAAATTTTATCTAAAAGTTGTATAAAGTAAGAAAGATTGCACTTGAGATATCAATTAAAGTAAGAGTAAATAGCTCAATTTATCTTTATATAATAGCTTGAGTTTCCAATCTATCTTTATATCTTTACTTGTATTTATTATATTTTTAAATATTTTTTAAGTTTTTAATATATTTTTTCGATTAATTTTTTTGATAATCACTTTAAAAGAGAACATACGAGATCATATAACTTTAAGTTTTTTTTTAGAGTTAATATATATGAACAAGTGGAGTTATTTTGAACTTGATAATATTCTAAATTGCAAAACTTGTCAAGACATATGCTAATGATTTGCAATAAGTTAAGTCAAATATTTATACTGTTGTTTAAAATTGTGATGTGAATTACAAAATTGATGCGTTTTTGTATAATCAAAATGTATTGAGTACAATTCAAGAGGAATAACGAAAAGGAGGATTGGTAAGGATGTTTCGTTTTTGATATTTCTCATTATAGATTCTATGTATGTATATTAGCATTAATACTCCTGGCATTTGCTTTTAATGGATTTCTCAGTATTTTGTTTATAGAAAAAAATTTAATTATTAATTTCTTGAATAATTTTATTTATCTAATCTTTTTTTGAGAACATTAAAATTTTCGCTCCCTGATACTGAATTTCTAGCTCCACCATAGACCAGGTCGAATATGATCTACAAGTAGTACCGAGTGGAATGATATTTTGATATAATACGATTAAAATAAATATGATTAATTATTAAAATACAAATATGATAATAAATAATCCAATTGTTTTTTAAAAGTTTGATATTGATTACAGAATTTAAGTAAAAAACTATAGTATCTTGAACATTTTAATTAAGAGAGAATAAAACTTGATAACTTATTTGATAAAACATTGAGTCCATCCCACGGGACTTGGGTGCATTTCTTTCCTATACTTATGAATTTTCCTGCTTACGAGTCGTCCAGATTGTAAATGAACCAATTTTCAATTTTCCTATATTATATTATATGTATAAATTTGACAGCGCCAATTAATTAAAACTGGTTACCTTAAATTCAATGTGAAACCGACCTTGTTTTAGCTAGCTTATGATCGAAGAAATACCGGTAGCTATAATTAATTGATGAAACTAAAGCCTAACCATTAAGCTAGGTTCGTGGGAGATTACCTAATCATTCATTGTGATGATCAGCTGACACATGTCAAACTTGTTTCTTAAAAATCTATATATCTACCAGTATCTCTCTATTTTGTAGTCTAATAATAAAAAAAGAGCAAAAGATTATGAAATAATGGATGCAATTGCAATTATTAATTAATAGTAGTGAGTATAAGTGAAAGATAGCTAATTAAAGGAACGCAAAAGATATATATATATATATATATTAATGTATTGTATAAAATATTGTTGATTAAATTAAATAGGAGATGCATAGTGTACAGTGGCCCCAGTTCCGGTGCAGATATTTTTAGGCGCCTAAAAGGTAGACAGCTTGAATGCACCGCAAGCAGGGCAGCATCTATGGGGAATTTCTTAGAAAGGTCCCTCGCAGCCAATGCTTTTCTTCAAATTAATTAGCTAGGAAAGAAATGAAAGAAAGACTACTTTATTAGCATGCACCTACTAGCTAGCTAGCTAGCCATTAAGGGCCTTTTGAAAATTTTCTCCTTCTAGCTCTCATCTTTCTAATTCACAAATCGATCGGGTTAATAACATCTTTTGTATCTGACTCTTTGTATTTTTGTTTTGCTCATGCATGAGCAAAATTTTCTTTTAGATTCTACATTTCTACTGTTGATTTCGTAAAGGTTTTTTTTTTCCTTTTATTTAGTTTTGTTGCATTGGGTGCCATACGAGTTGTAATGTGAGGCATAAGAAATTAAATTACACATGAAAGTTTAAAAAATAATCGATAAATAGAACATAGAAAAAAATATAAATTTAAATATTAAATAAATTTCAATTTTAGAGAAAAAAATTAAAGCCTTTCTTTTTTGCAAAATTAGAAATTATAAAAGTATTAAGGAAATGAAATCAGAATTTTTGGGTAAAACATTACCTTTTCTCCTCTAATTGAAAAAAAAGGCTTTGTTTTATAAAATTATAAATTAAATAAATATATTAAATTAAAATCATTGGTTATAGTATCTTTATTCCTCTGACTGAAAAAAAAAGTTCGATTTTTTAAATTACAGATTATACTAATAGTAAAGAAATAGTACTTAAGTTAGTTAACATAATATTAAAGAAATAAAATTAAAGCTATTGAGCAAAGTATACACCATTTATTCCTATAATTTTTAATTTAATTTCTATACTATACAAATTTGGGATTTTTCTTTATTTTTTTATCCATTTATTAAATTTACACTGTTATTTATTTATTTTTTTTGATGCATTGATGTATAGGTTTTTGACATGTGAAATTTAATATAACATAATTGACTGAAAGGATAAAAATCTTAATAGGACTTACAGTACAATGATAGAATCTATAAAAAAAAATTTATACAAACAAATCCATAAAAAATTCAAAAGTAAAGAAACAAAATGCGCCCCTAACCCCACAAATCCTCTAATCGATTTTCTTTCTGTTTTTTTTCCAAAGAGACTTGTCAAGTACAACGTACGCGGTGCAACTTTATACTTACTGAATATATACATATACGTACGACAACCAAATCTCAAAAAATCTAGCTAAATGCAATGAACTAGTATATCTGTAATTATTCGGTATATATATTGTAAACGTCTTAAAGAATTAATATAAAATTTTTAGAGTCTTGTAACGTTTTGTATTGAAATGTCTTTTTATATAATGCACAAGAGTATTTAAGAAATAATGAAAAAAATATATATTTTTATATTTATAAGCATGAAGCATGGTCATTAATTTCTTCATCTGTTCCAACAGTTAATCTAGTGAAGAAAGGAATTTCCATGCCCCATTTTTAAACCTGCATGGATAATTGAAAATGAAGAAAAAGTAAGAGGAGGTGAAACCTAGAGAGAGAGAGAGAGAGAGAGAGTAAAGTGAAAAAATCCTAGAAGGGAGAATAATCATTTTCTACAGCTATAAAATAATTTAGGATATAGTAGAAGCCAACTTGGCCCGTAGGCATTGATATTTTTATGTAAAGATGAGTTATTAATTAATTAATGAAGATGGGATCTTTTGAAGGCAAAAGAAAGTAAATAAGAAATTAAGGCCAGGTTGGGTAGCAACTAGCGAGGCACAAAAGAGAGAGTTAGCAATGCATGCTGTCCTACTATTAGGGTCAATTCAAAAGCAGAGGACACCAACACTTATGCTTTGTCTTAGTTTTACAACCAACATGACGTGCACCCTTAGCTTGTCTTTTCAAAGAATCTAGACCGTCCAATTAATTACCAAAAAATAGGGCGGAGTCCCCCATCCTCTTGTTAATCCATTGATATTGCGGTACTATAAATATGAGGAGGATCTTTGCTGCCATTGCATCATCGATCTTAGTTATTGAAGAACCCCCAACCATTACTATTACCACTACCGCCACCATTGCTATACAAACTTGTTAAGAAACCGAGAAAGCTTGCTATTACGTACAGTACTAAACTTACTACAATTAAATTAATTAGGTTAAATATGGGAGGGTACAAAAGGCAGAGGAAATCTTCATCCTGCTTATTCTCCATATTCAGCATATTCAAGGCTTGTTGTTATTCAAATGATGGCGATGACATGAGTGAAGATGGGTTTTATGTAAGGAGAGTACGCCCAGGTGATGAAGAAGGAGAACCAGGAATTGACGGGATGGCCTCAGACTTCATTGCAAGGTTCTATGCAGCTAGGGTTTCAGACCCGGAGCGCCAAGCTCTTGCTCTCTAAGGATCGCGCCACCCATCAAGAATATTGCATCATGAGCTGACAGCTTAAGCTTCCGCTGATGTTGTTTTGTTATCTCTTTCCAGCTTCTCTTCTCTTAATTTGTATTAACCTCATCCATTCGAGCCTGCAGCTTCCTGCAGTACTGTACTGTGAGTTACAAATAATAATTAACTAAGATCAACTAATAATTCCAAAAATTAATAGATATAGCAATATTGTTGTCTTTAATTTGTTATATATGTGCACTGAATGTTTAATTTGTGTTTTTGGGGAGTGAATGTTTAATTTATTATTAACTTATCATCAACACTAATTAAGCTGATTTGTTCTGAATACTGCAAATTAAATTAAGCATTGCTATATATCTTGATTTTCTAGCTCAATATATATATAGGCCAACCAACTTTAACAACCATATATGGAAAGATTACATAAACCCTTCTTTGTATCCAGACTATCCTTATTTACTACTAGATTCTTAGCACGTTCTTCGGACGTGTATTATTTAACAAATTTATAGTATTTTTTTTTTTTAATTTCTAATAGATTGTTTAGAATTATTTATAAATGAATAAAATTTGAATGTTTATTAAATATAGACATGATTGATTTTCAAATAATTTATATGAATTTTGATAATTATAATTAAATTAATTAGGGACATAAATTAAAAATTAACCTTATAAAATAGTTTTTTACTGAAATTAGGAAAAAATTAGGTACATATATTAAATTGTCTTTCAAAATTTAATAGTTAAGATAAATATATGCAACTCTTAAAGATAATAATCACTAAAAAAGTTTCGCTTAACATTATATTATTATTAATATTTTTTTCCAAAAAAAAAACTATGTGATAAAAAATTTATAAATTATTTTCTTAATAAATCTTGACCTTTTTTTTTTTTTTTTTTTAATATCATTAGTGTATGTCTAAAAGAGTAAAAAAAAAAAAAAAAAATATTGTATGTCAGTAACCAAAATAACATATAAAAAATCAACTAAGGATTCAATGTAATAATTTGATGAATTTTGATGTAATTTAATTATTTTTGGATTTTAAAATTTCATGTTTCTTATTAGCTTTGTTTGAAGCCTTTTTATAGTCATACTAGTCAAAATAAAATATAAATATAGTGCTATAACTTTTAGGAGTGATGTAAGTAGCTTGCTTTATCTTATTTAGGATTTGATGTAGTGTATAAATAAGAAGATAATGAAAAGCGGGATTATCCTATATTTTAGCATTCATTCTAGAAAATGGCCTATTTTTAGGAATTGATAATTTTTTATAAGCATTTTCCCAATATTGGTATTTTTCTTAACTAGAAGTGGGGTTGAATTTACTTACAATTATTCATAGTATATTATAATGTTAAAAGTTTTTAAGAAGTAATTGGTGCTTTTATATATGGCAATGGATTAAAAAATTTTAATTAAAAACTTAAGAACTTAGAGAAAGAATATATATAAATAATTATTTTCAGCACATGAACAATTAATATTAATTTTACTACTTAATTTCGATCAGTTTAGTTTTTTAAAAAAAATTTAAAGTTTTTTAATTTAACAATTTATTTCTAAATAATAATTAAGGGTATTTTGGAAATAAAATAGATTTCTTATCAAATATTCAAACGTTTAAATGATTTTTGTAATTTTATGTTATATATATATAATTGGCCACGTAAACATGAAGTATTGAAAAAGGGAAATTTATAACAACATAGAGACTGTAATGCATGGAATTGGAATTGAGATAATTAGCTATTAATTTCTTTCCATATGTAGCCATGATTAATTATCACTTTGAAATCATCCGTATTTTTTCTTTTGTTCCAAAAGAAAGGTTTAATCTTCAAATCTTTTTAAATGAAGCATAACACTAATGTTAGCTGAGTTCCAGCTCAATTACTTTTAATTAGTAAACATTACAAGATTAATTTCGGAGTCAATTTTTACTGGAATTACGAGGCTTGCTATTTGGTACTCCATGGGCTGGTTGATTTGGAGTCAATTATTTACCCATCTGCATGTGAATCCCAATTAATTTCCCATTCGGATTCTATAAGTAGATCAGTTGAATCAAAATCCCTCGGGCTCATGGTTTCTCCTGTCAAGGTTTAGAATGGCAAAAATAGAACCCAATGCTTATGGTATCCAACTCAGGCGGATGGAGCCCATCGAAAAGCAAACACCTCGAAAAAGAGGCCCTTCCTAGTTGCCTAAAGCTATGTTTGGTACTAAAACGATCTCAAAAGTGTTATCAAAATGCATTTTATAAAACATTGATCTCACTCAAATGAATTTTTATAAGACATTTAAACCTTAATTAAGAAGAAAACTATATATATATAAAAGAATACTTACGATTAATTAAGAAGACAATCACACCTACACACACTTTTTATGTATGCTAATTTTGCTGGATCATAAATCTTAAGCTCAGATTCTACGTACGTACGTACATGCATAACTATCTAGCTTCTCTCCTTTTTTCATGAATTAATTTTGAGACAAGTGAAACCATCAGTCAGTTTTCCACTAGCTAAATGTGCATGCCAGACTAAAAGTAACTTCCATCCCTGAGGTTCTGTTTCTCCTTTTGCAGCTACATGGAAGGAGGACCATCTAAATGAATACGCTGGTCTCTTTTTAATTTACAGACTTCTTTTTCATGGTTCTTGCATGTGAAGCCGCAAACGAAGTGACGGTCCTAATTTCCTCCTTTCTTTTCCAATATTTTGTAATGGATTATGATCCACGTTTCTTAGCTAGCTAGGTAGCTAGACATCCATCCCCTTTTTCTTTAATCAAAAGAAAATGATGAGCTAGCTCTTTGTGGAGATTATATTCTATATCTAAGAACTACAACTTTAAGCATAACTCCTAGCACTAGAAACTCTTGTTTGATTGTCCCTATATATATATATATATATATCAATATCAAATAGATGTAAGTTCCATATTCATATACTCAAAGTAAAAAAATTAAATAAGATATTAGAATTCTAAGATATATAATATTTGGAAACAAAGAGCTAGCTTAAAACCAAGCATGCTACTTAAGGTTTTAAGATAGAAAAATCTAAAAAGTTTACATATAATAAACCTAAAGAAACTAATAGCTAAAAATATGTGAATTGATAGCAGACAGAAACCAAATAAACTTCAGAGTTAAACTAGACAAATTAGAAATAAATTTTTTACTACAAGGTTGTGTTTGTTTTGGAGGAAAATAAGTTCCGGTAGCTTGTTTTTTCTATTTTTTCATATTTCTTTCGCGTTTAGGAAAAAAGTTAACGAAAAATAATTTTCAGTAAACAAAAAATGATAGAGTATTTTTGAAAAAATATTTTTTGAATTAAAAAAGAGGAAAACATTTTCTTTTTTTCTCACAAGTCGTCTCGCTCTCGTGTTACTCTCCTCTCTCGATATATTTTAACAATTTTTTTCTATCTCTTTTTTGTTTAAAATATATCAAATTATTTTTTAATTATTTTTTTAACAATTGTTATTAATTATTTAATTATTTTTATCTATTTCTACTAAAATTTTATTTTTTTATTTATAAATATATTAAATATTGTTAAAAACCATTTTTGCACCTTAAAATTATTTTTACAATAAATATTTCCATAATTTATCGTTATTTTTTTTATCATTATCTCAAACACCACTTAAACTATACTTAAATGATTGAAAATGATTATTACAAGATTGCAATCATTTGTGAAAATTTTAAAACTAATTAATTATTAATAAATATATTATTTTTTCAATACTATTTATTTGCAACTAAATCAATAATTTGTAACTAATTTTAATCAATTGTAAAATTTTATTGGTAATTATAGTCAATAATTAGTTACAAATTATTCCTACATTAATCTTTTGAAATCAAATAAATAATTATCTACAAATGATAACTAATAATTTGTAAAACTATTTTTTAGACTAAATTATCAGTTCAATTTTCAAAAAAAAAAAAAAAAATTCTTAATTGAGTTACCAAAATAACAATGCTAGGATTACTTAGAATTGTTTTTACTAAATGTGAATACTGATTTGATTTTGTCTCAAGTAGTTTTGATGAATTGGTTTGATAATTAAAAATGTACATTTTATTTTTTGATTTTTTGAATTTAAATCTTAGAGTCAGTATTTGTAAAAATTTATTAAATTTTTTCTAAATATATCTTATATTGTGAAATTATGAATATATCTTGTTGAAGTTTACTCAAAACCTATTGATATAACAATAATAGTTTGTTTTTGCATTTAAGTTTTCTCGTATAAAATAAACTTTAAAAAATATTTTTCAATAATTTTTTTATATGATTGTCAAACATCAGAAAATAATTTTCAGAAAAAAAACTTTTTAAAAAATGATTTTTTCAAAATTACTTATTAAAAATTATTTTCTTCCAAACAAATACTGTTTTATTTTTCCAAAACAACAAGTTAACACAACCAAACTACCCAGCAACAGGGGTCAAAACAAAAACGATTTTTGCCGCATCTTTCTTCAACGTGTAATAAGTTTGGCTTGTATTTGTCTATATTAGCCCCTCTTGTTTCTTGAATATTCAAATTTGATCCTTAAACTCTAAAATCTTGTAACTGAGTCCAATTACTCATGACTGATTGAAAAATATTTATTCTGATATATATACCTATAAAGACGAAGAATGTACCCTTCACCTCCGCCTTAGCCTCCATGGAGGTCTTCTAACTTTCACATCCACCTCCATTATATCAAAAACACTTTTCAGTCCTTCATATCCTCCTCTATCGGAAGCGGACCTCTATACTGGCCCAAATGATTTTTTTTTTTTCATAACAAATTCCATTAAATCAAGTGCATATATATATATATATATATATATATATATATATATCAATGTAATATTATGGAAAAAAACTGCACATATTATTCTAGATATAGAATGAAGAAAATATAAAAATAATAGATTATTTGTATACATAAATTTGGGTAT